TTACAGACATTTTCCAAAAGTCTACAGTTTTGTTTGCAATGCATGATAAATAACCTGACATCCTACACTTCCTTTACAGTAACATAAATCATGCCTTGCACATCCCTACAATCTAAAACGTGTAATAAAGCTGTTAGAAAAGAACTGGAACCATTTCAACGTGGAATTACAGTTTGCTAATATCTTGTTAGCCAGAACAATATTGGTATTCAACGCGCAATGGGTTTGTCTTATCCAACAATGCACATCACTATTGAAGAATATATGAACCTCAAACAAAATGAATAAAGCTAATCAACAATCGTTTTATTAATAAAGATAATCAATTATTAACTGCTTGTTTCTAATATTCTCAATTATTCTCAGCAATAACAGTCAATTTGACTCAATTTGCCGTGGTTAGGTTCTTACCAAGTAGAATAAAAAAACAAACTCCATTTAAAACACAAAATAGAATACATTAAATATCAAAAAAAAACTAACAAATTTGGCTTTCTTTGTAAAGAATACTGATGGTAATTCAATTATATAGCACATTTATGAAGAGATGGCAAATAAATAGTTCTGGCAACTTACTGGTATTTAAACCTTTTGGTTCATTGGGTCAACCACCTCTTGCGATTTTGAAACACTGTTATTGAGGCCCTTATAACTAAAGTCTCGCTCCCAAATTATAGCAGCAGTCATGATATCAGACAGAGTTTGATAAGTATTCTTATTTAAATGTATCGTAAGTGTTGCAGGGAGCTTTTTCTTATAATGATTTATGAGAGCTTTTTCTTTATAAGAGATATAAGATTGGTTTAAGATATTGAAGAATCGAAGGTTGTAATCATAAACACTGTCTTTGTGCTTGATATTTTCAAATGCATAATTCATCATGATAGAGTATCCGGGTGGATAGAATTGTTTTTTAAAAACCTTAAGACATCCCAATTGCGCTGCTCATTGCGTGGGTTCCAGCGATTGTACCAGGCTTGTGCACTGCCAACAAGATAGCTTTTGGCAATATCCATACGTTCAAAACGGAGTTGGCATTTTTGATAAAGCTTGATAATAAATTCCACTTCACTAATCCAGTTTTCAATTAAAATGGGGTTTTGCTGACCATCAAATGCTGAAACTGTGCGCGAAATGTTTTTAAATGTAAAGAGTAGAGAATCGAAATAACTCATTTTGTTCCAAAATAAAAGTAATCAGATTAAGACAATATTTTAGGGAATAAGAAAAAAAGGTTAGAAAATAAGAAAAGATTGAAAAATTAAAGAGACAACTATAACTATTTATACCAAATGAAATGATAATACATTTTTAAGCAAAAAAAATCAAGCATATAAATAACAATAAGCAAAACTTCATTAACATCAGATATTCTTTTAAAAAATGAATTTCACTTATACTGTCAAGCATCAACATTGTCATCATTATAAAATATAGATACACATATAAACCTCAATTAATTTCAAGCCTTGACCTTTGTCCTCCAAACATCTTTATCGTTCTGGGTCTTGGACTTTGCTCTCTGCCGCAATGTTTCATTTACTCATAAGCTCTCTCATTGCATATACGACGCATTGAATGCTATAAGCTCTCTTATTGCATATACGGCGCATTGAATGCTGTTTGTAGGCAAAGTCTTGTTAAAATGAATGACAATCATAATCTCATTTGTGCTGCATAAATCCCAAAGCCAAAACAATGTAGCAGCAGCTTTATGGAAACTCATTTTAAAACATGTGTAATTGATATGTTTCATGGTCTAGATGTAAATTACTAGAAATCTAAGTTTATTTTACTCTATCAATGAGTTATTCTAACTGAGCTTCGAGTCAGGATCAGAAATCTCAACTTGCAGAAAAGAGAAAGAATGTAAAAGCTGAGGATGATCCAGTCGTATAACTTAAAGTAGACAAAGAGTAGATGTGAGGCAGTTGAAAACGAGCCTTTGGTGAGTTAGTTTGGTAGGACTTAAAAGCAGGTTTTTGAAATCACGATGCTCACAGAAGAGAAAAGATGTAGTCGTTTGTAGTGATCCGGTAGCATAATTTAAAGCGTCGAAATGAAGGTAAAGTTGTAATAGGTGGGTCGGTTAGTGTAAGGGAAGATCCTCGTTCTTTCCTTGCTCCTTGCCTTATTTTGTCTCTTGAAAAGGATTCAAGAGGTTTTATAATCCTCATTCAGGAGTGCTTGTTTTAATAAGAAAGGCAGAAATTTATAGCATTCTCAGACTCAGCTTCCGCGGTTTGTTTTTCCTTAATCAATACCCTGCTTTTGGACGTCTTTGACACTACTTCATGCTTGTAACTCACATTATCACCATTTGAAATGAGTCAGCACTCCGGTGAAGCTGGCTTCACATTCCAAGGAATGACTTTTAATCACAACTCTCAGTACCAGGATCCAGCAGATCCGTGTGGTGTTTGTTAGAGGAATCAGAACGATGTTGAGATGAAGTTCCTGCGATAGCATGAAGGTGGCATGATCGATGACCTGTCGGGAAGGTGTGTCGTGACACCTCATAGCGCTTTGATCCCCGCTGATTTATCATCGAGTGCTGAACTCCACACGCTATAATGGCGCACCAAAAATTATACGCAGAACCAACTCACATACAGCATTGCGATAACACCATATCTGCAAAAGAAAACCCAGTCTGTCAGAAATCACTTCATTTCTCTAACAAAAGATTATTCTTACCGTTGATATAATATTGCTGTGATATTACGTTTTGTATTAGATCGGAAATATGTTCCAGGGTCTCACATTCTACTAAATTGAAATATCTTTGAGCGTCTCTCGATGGGACCCATCGTTTCGCTGAGTACCATTCTCAAATGTTGAAAACCACTTCCTTTGTTAAATAGAATCGGCGGGACAGTCTGTAGCAAAAAAGACTGCCCTAATTTGGTTGTTTAAACTTACATGAATCTTCATAATTAATGTTAATACAGCCCGTACAGCAACGAAAACAAAAACTCCTTGCGCAAATTTTGGCTCTTTTAAGCCCAGTTAGGGGGTCGAAAATTAGATTGTTTTGAGTCCATATGATCAGATTTTGACATTTGTCGCTGGGATTTTCGATTTCCCGGAATACCTCTGTTGTTAGCTTTGGAATGCTTAGAGCGTTGGTTGTGGTGGGATTCTCGATGGTCTTCATATACACCCCTATTGGTTGGTGGATAGTGGGGAATCATTTTTAGTCCTAGTGAGTCAGTAAATTCTTGTAAATAATACCTGCTAAGACCATGGTCATTCATAGCCAAGCTATCTTCAGCATTTTGAGCAGCTCGCATGAGCTCATCCAGAGTCCGTTCAGGTCTTGGGAAAATAAGCATTTTAATTTGTGCGGGAAGTCCCTGCAGGTAATGGTGCTTTAAATACTCCGGGTTGTTGTCCCAGTCCAAAGAAGATTCTTCCTTCAGTTCGAGAAATAGAATACTGTATTCAGCAACAGTGTACGTGCACTGAATCTCCTCAAAGGCACGGTCCATTATATTGGTGTATCCAGGTGGTGCAAAATAGCCTTTGAGGGTTTCACTAAACTCCTTCCAAGAGCGCTTCTCGTGCTTTGGGTTCCATAAATAGTTGTACCATTTGAGAGCCATCCCGGTCATGAACTGCTTACCGAAAATGATTCAATCATTTTCATCACTAAGGCGGCCCTCGCAAGCGTTTTCAATTTCACTGAGCCAGTTTCTGACTTTTGGGGGATTCGGCTCGCCATCAAACGTGGACGGCTTGTAGACGAGGAGACCTTCAAGTGTAAGCATTGATGGGTGGGTAAGAAGGTAGCGGTATTTTGTGGTTCCTGGGTCGTTAATATCTGAAAACAGAGGCTAAATAACAAAAAGATATACTAATAACTAATAAATGGTCTGAAGGCTGATGTCTGTGTTTTATAAACTTGATTGCTTTCTCAACTCAGATAGGAGAGATAAAGACGAGTTAATATAATGACTTGTAAATCACTTTGAGAATGATATTGAGGGGTCAAGATTCCTATATTCAATTGTCAACGTTACAACACGAAGCTAATACAATCAAAAATGGTAACTCTGAGTCATAGGTAGATACTTGATGTGGTTAAGAGAGAATACCACGAGATCAGGTACGGCATTGAGTTTGCGAGTAGAAAACTCTAAGATGAGCAGCTATCGAAAAGCAAGTTGATTTGACTGTGAAAATGACACAGCCAATAGATAAAGTTGCATACATTAATGGATTAAGAGCCTTGTTGTTAAAAGTGAGGAAATAGTTTGTGCAGATTGCTGTTCTTAAGTACTGAGGTGGTCAGTTGAGATGGCTCAGGTTAAAATAATGTTCAGATGTGGGGTGATAAGGTTGGTGAACTGTTAGAAAGTTGACATGGGGGAATGTCATTAATTAACGACATTGTAGAATGAGCATAGGACACTGGACTTTTGAAAGACTTTCATCTGTCGATTTCCAGGAATCAACAATTATTGGTAGCCCTGGTTTGGTAATTCATCAAGCTGATATTCTAAGTAACATGAGGACTGCCCAATTTTTATGCAATGTATATTTATCTCAGTATTTCATTAAATCAATGGGTTTTGTATTCCGATCAACTCACTTCATTATTAAAGTTTTGACTTGGATGGTCAGTCATGTGCCTTGCGGGAAAGGTTTTTGCCAACCCCAACTATCCTCTTCAGGTGTTGATGTCAGAGAGATAGAAAATCAGTTTATTGACCTTACATCAAGTGATTACAAATAAATTATATAACTAAATGGCATACAAAGAAGATATGTGATTTCAAAGGCAGCCCTTATCATGACTTTGTGGTCTTTATTGTACTGTTTCTTTGAAATATCACCCCAATTTAGCCACCTCCCACTCCAAAATTAGCTATTGCATATTGTAGATTCTTGAGTCATCAAAAACAAATATTTTAATAATTTTGAAATATTTTGGTGCAACACAAGAGATCTGTTGACTTGTATTGTACTGCTGTGTGAAATATTTAAAATAACAATTGGGTTGTATAGTGTAGTGGTGATCACATCGGATTCTGACTTAAAAAATCATAATTTCCGGGAACCCCGGTTCGATCCCGGGTACGACCTTATTTTTTTTAATAAAATGCGGGTTAAAAATAAAACCGCACTATATTAAAATGCACCATTATAATTATTTTTCTTTTTTTTTTTTTTATTCCCTGATTTAATATCTGTCGCCAAACTTCTAAGGATTTTTATTATAATGAACCAAACTATTATTCTCTTATCTCAACTGATTTTTCATGTCATTTAAAACTCTGAACCAGTTCGGAATTAGCCAATTTTTCAGAGTGTGACTAGGTTCAAATGTTTCTAATCTTCATGTCATTTTGTTTTATAATTTGTAATTGTTTAATTTAGACAGTAAACTGATCATCTATGGCTAGACCCACCCTAAACTATGAACTGACAATTAGTATAAATACTCGCGAGTTTTCCTTCAATCCTTTTTTTTCCTTCTTCTTTTCTTCTCCTTGCCAGCAAGCTGGCCACACTCTCGGCTTGCTGGTCGCATAGACTTCTACCACCACTGTCTTTGCGTTTAAGGATTCTTGATTGAACTCCTGTAATAAAAAAAGCATTTTGAGCTTGTCCGCTCTACGAAAACAACCTGAATTGCGTCTTTCGCCTCAAACATACCACAACACCTTAACTTGGATTCCATGTCTTCCAAGAGAAAAGCAATGGGAGCCTTTTGGTTTCTAAAACACGAAAAGCATAATGACATGCTTGCACACCTGGATTTTCATTTTGCATTGAGTCTTCCTCTCGTCCACTCTATTTTATTCCAACCTATTTTATAAATGGATACAGTGTTGAGGGAAGCTTCTGGTAGATCCATACCGGAAATTGATAGCCACCAAAAAGTTTTTGTTTTTATTAAAAAGCTGCTCTGATTGAGCAAATCATCCGTCAATATAGATTAAAAAAGAATATCGGTTTATTGTCCCACGGTTATCGATAGACAGGAAATGTTTCATGTTCTAAAAGTTAGAAATTCCATAACAAAAAAAAAAAATAAAACTAGTAATTGGATATATTAAAACAACTCATTGAACATCAACTGATACTATCATCAATTCGGGAAAAGTGATTTAGCGCATATTAGACGTTTGGAATATTGAATGGCGCTAAATTATTTATGCATAAATCCATATGGTGAAGGAAATACTTTTTAAACTCCCCGTGGACTTTAAGAAAGCTTTACTCGTTCTCATGTGTGAAACTTATGGCTGGTACACCACTAAAACTGTTTGTTCAAAGTATGGAGTAATGCCGTCCTCATAAGGCTGTCAGCCACCCGAGCGGCCTTTACGCTACCGTTTGCGTCTGATATCAGCATGCTGTTACGGTTACAAAATGTGTTTGTGTTATTGCTTATTTTTCAAAACGTGCCAAACAATATATTAATCAATGTGTCGTGTGAGTATCCACCTATAAAATAAAATAAGAATAACCAACTTTTTCGTTACAATAACGAAACGAACTGCCCGTAGTGCGGATTGGAATCATTCTGATAGTTGGGTGGAGATCACGGTGATTAATTATACCGCACTAGTGGCGCGTGGATTTTTGTAAAGCCCGTCAGCCAATCTTTTGGATTATGTCCCCTAAATCAAAAGATAGATAGATAATCAGTTTATTGTTCTTACATCAAATAGTTACATAAAATTTACAAAACAAAACGTCCTAAATCAAAAAGAAAAGATATTTTTTAATCGTGTGAAATAAAGCAGTATATTTAATTTATGTTGTCAGCTTTAATCAAGCTTATTTTCAGTTGCTTTGTGTACGATATCAAACTTTTACAAGTTTTAAGGAACTGGGGTGACTTGGCAGATAGAAGGATCAAGCAATAAGGAAACAATACAGTTAATACTAGATGATAAGGTCAACCCTATAAACTTAATGGGAATATAGTAAACATAACACTTGAAATAGCAAAACAAGATATGTTAAGCTTGAGAATGCTACTTTGCCAGTCTCATAGAGACAAATGTTTTTGAAATTTCATGTCTTCTTTGTATGTCGTTTTGTGATTTTGTATGTAACCATCTGATGTAAGGACAATAAACTGATTATCTATCTATCTGTGCTTGAGAACAATGCACGTTAATAGGAGTGTTATTATATGGTTCTATATGAAAGTGTGTATAGGCTAGAGATCAATGACGGGTTACACTATCGTCAGTCCAAGCCCCTATATTAAATTTTACAAACATGTCTATATTTTCAATACCATTTTAGAAACTAGATCCCTGCACTGGACAGGCACAACAGACACGTAAGCTAATGCCACACATGAGACTTCTGCGTTAAACGTACCAAGCTATTCAAGGAGAGAATAATTAAAAAGCTCTACCTCCAAATATAATGCCAAAGAAAAACTTGAGAGAGACCATGTCGATACCCGAGCCTTTTTAAAATGAATTAAATTGCAGTTTGAAGAGAAAACAGTTTTATGTTCCAGTCTAGTCCTGAGAGAATATAGTGGAGTTGCTAGGACCAAGGCTTTAGAAACTACTGCTTTACTACAAGCTGTCCAAATTAAAAGAATTTGAAATTAGAAATGCCATTTTAAAACGTCGATTCGTATGCCACTGCTCAATAAAACGCTTGTGCTCTCTGGTGCCTATACCTGTACGGACCCCTCTGGCCGACAGGCCGGGGTATACATAAACCTCTGACATGACTACATATTTGAAAAAGGCAGTTGACTATTTATGCATATATATAGATAGATAGATAGATAGATAGATAGATAGATAGATAGATAGATAGATAGATAGATAGATAGATAGATAGATAG